ATAGAAATGCTCCAAGGAAATAAAACCATGAAGATGTAGGTGATGCGAAGAAGAGTTTTATTTGTGTTTAAAGCAGAACACAAGGGCAAACCAGTGTCAGGAAACAGGCACCTCTTCCCAAACTGAAGCACTTGGTGCTCCTCCGGCTGTGACACACGGACCCGAGCACATGCAAGGAGCCAGGAGGGCTCTCATGCAGGGGAAGACTGTCCAGGAAGGACCTGGCTGAAGAACAGCGGCTCAGACAAACTGGGCACTTCACTTCCTTTTGCCTTAGTTATCAAGGGTGAGCAAGCTCTGAAACAGAACCCAGAGCTCAGCACCTTCCCACCGGCCCCGGTACAGAGAGCAGCAGCCAACAGGCTGGGACATCAAGGCAGGGCCTGAGAGCCCTGTAGCAATGAAACGGGGCACGGTGGAGACGTGGTATCTGCCCAAAGGCACCGTGTGCACTGCACAGCCCTGTGTGCGAGCAGCTCCCTGGGCTCTGCTCTGCAACTCGTGCCCAGGGCTTGCTTCGCACGGAGAACACCGCTGAGAACGTGCCACGTGTCTGCTCACTGGTCTGCCTGAACCAAAGCCTTGCAACAAGGCAGAGCTTCCACAGCTCGTGTTAGCAGAAATCTAGACTCCAGCAATGAATGGGGACCCAAACCCAGTTACCCTACGCTCTTTCTTAACTAATGGCTGCACTACGGAGGAGAGAGAAGAAGGGAGTCTTTCCCGTGGCGCCTAGGCCACGATGTTGGAGGTGGCATCTCCAGAAGGGAAGTGGATGTCATGGGCAAGGCAGGGCCCATTGGGTTCCTTTCCAAAATCCACCAGGAAGTTCTTGTTCACGGTCAGGCCTCCCTTCTCAGTGTCCACATCAATCTGCAGCAGGACAGAGCCTTCCCTGCGAGTGGACAAGAGCGCAGCTATTACACACAAGCAAACCTCAAGCAGGCTGACACACTTGTGCTCGCCCGAGCTAAACCCTGGCACTGCAGCTCCACACAGGCAGCGGCTGCTCCGTGCCCAGCCAGAGATGTTTGCGAGTCAACTGCGTGGGGAAGTCAACAGGAGGAAGCTGGGGGATGACATGAGGAAACCCTGTCCCGCTGCAATCACACACGTACCCCTGTAGCCCCCCAGAGGAGGAACCTTCCCCCTTCCTAACACAGAGGCCATAAGAAAGAGGCCCCCGGCCTCCCCAGCATTTCTTACTTGACCAGGTTCGGGTAGAACTGCTTGTCCCATGTGCTGTAGAAGGAGTTGGTGACATACAGCCTCTTGCCATCCAAGCTGAGCTGCAGTCTGCTCGGGCCGCCGTACACTCTCTTGCACTGAAGGCACAACAGACAGCAGGGATGTTACTGCGTCTTGCTCTGCACAGCCAAGCACAAGCAGGGGCAGAAACCCTGGGCAGAGAATTAGCAGAGCAGAGCCCAAGTGCAAAGGACACCCGAAGGCAAAGAGAGCGTAGAACTCACCTTGACCACCAAGGGCTCGGGCTGGCACTTCAGCTCTTCATCTCTGCACACAGCCACGGGTCCACCTCTGAGGATGCTGCCACCCACAAAGACCTGTAAGTGAGGCAGGGAGACATGTGTTGTCTGGTCATCTACCCACCACCTCCTGCTAAGGGAGCCACCAGTGCAAGCCCTTCTGCCCCTGCCTTACCTGTCCCACCAGCCTGGGCTTGCAGTTCCTGGAGAGCTCGTACTGGCGGATGTCTCCGTGCAGCCAGTTGCTGAGATACAGGTACTTGTCATCCGGCGAGATGACAAGGTCGACTGTGAAGGCTGGGGCAGAAAACACAGAGCTCCAGAGAAGGCAGCATCAACAGAAAGGTGCCCTGCATCACGACCCAGCTCTCGTCTCACCACCTGAGGGGACACAAACCTGGCATCTCTGGCAAAATCCATCCTGTCACTTTCTTGGCTGGAATCCGGATCACCTCCTCCACTGCCCAGTTGTCTCTCTGCACAAGAGACACAGGCACCGCACCATGAGAGCTCCTGCTGCTCACACAGGGCAAAGCTGCCTGGGGAAGGCTCCCACTGCACGCAGCGCCTGCACGAGCACTAGCACTTGCCTCGCACTTGTAGAAGCGGTAGATGACGCCGCTCAGGGCACAGCTGACGTATCCCTCGGCAGCATCGGGGTTGTGCAGGAACTTAACACTCAGGGGCAGAGAGTCCTCCCCCAGGTCAAAGCACTGTGTGAGGGTGCGGCAGGACAAGTTCCACACGTTCAGGCGGCGTCCATAGACCCCTGAGGAAAAGGAAAACTGAGTCAGAAGAGGGGGGTTCCCACGAGCCAGGATCAAAGAGAAGCTGCTGTGAGGTAGGAGCAGCGGGAGCACACAGGAACCAGCCTGATTTAAGGGCAGATGCTGCACATCCTCTAGCAGCGCCTGCCAAACGGGTGGGGAGAATCCTGCCTGTGCCCCTCTCCAGCTCCAGCAGTTTCTCTGATGGCACCGGCACCCTCCCACCCCCCGCTGAGCGCTGGCTCAGCACCTGCACCCCTATTCCCTCACCTTTCTTCAAGTCGTCGGGATTAAAGCCCCATCCTGCACGTTTGGGGACCACCCCAGCAGAGCTGATCAGAACATTGTGGCGTGGTTGGTACCAGAAGTCGTATCCGCTCGGGGGGACCTCGCACTCGTTTTCCCAGTTCCCCTTCAGCTCAAAGGTCTCTCCATCCAGCACGATAAATCCACCTGGGAGGCAAAAAAGGGATGCATGGGAAAAATCCCATACTCCCCTTCCGAACCTGCCACAGGCTCAGGGAGCTCCTCCAGGGCAAAGTACCTTTGGCGTTGCCAGACGGATCTCCCGTGTTGGCAATCAGAATGTCACCGTTCGGCAGGCTGCGAGGCACGTTCAGGTACCCCTTGTTGCACTTCCAGAAGACATCCACTGGCTCAATCGTCTGGGAAAAGTTGACACACACACACTTGAGCCACCAGAGGGATCTCTTGTGGAATCTCTTCAAGTCCTCACACTTGCTAGGGCCTGCTCCTCCTTGCAGAGGAGCACTGAAGGCTCCGAGCCCCCCTCTCCACAGACAAGAATGCAGCAGCACCTAACTCGGAACAGCTCGTCTGTCTGTGCTGTGACTTCCAGTTCTGAGACTCTCTCGGAAGGCAACAGGCACAGAGAGGAATGCCACGATGATGGGAGCCTCCCTTGCTCCGCAAAGGAGAGCGCTGAGAGGGAAACGTGCCCCAGCTCTCCACACTCAGGGTGGAAGAGAAGATGAGGAGAGAACCCTTCTTCCCTGTGTATTATTCCAGAAGCAGCAGTTCCCAACTCCTTCCCAGAAACTTGTCCCTGGATCCCCTTTGGCATACCTTATACAGCCTGGGAGCCCGGCACTGGGAACCCACATCCACCACGTAGATGCGGGAGGAAATCAAAGAGGGAAGAATCAGCTTGGTCCTTTGTGTGGTGACATTGTCAAAGCAGGTGCAGCCAGTGCTCCACCCCGAGGAATGCAGCTCGTCTTTGAGGTTGGGCATGGGCAGGCGGTGGATCACCTAGGCAGTCAAGGCAGAGTTAGGGTAGCGCAGGGAGCAGGGACAAACGGGCACCCAAATGCTGCACACACTTGGGTCCTGGTAGCCTCCATCTCACTGGAGCTGGCACTGCCTCTAGAGACTCAGGGAGGAGAAGAGTGCTCCTTGCACTGGCCACTGCTCTTTCCTAGGGTACTGTGGGCATCCTTTCAGGAATTCCTCCAAATGCTGCACACACTTGGGTCCTGGTAGCCGCCATCTCACTGGAGCTGGCACTGCCTCTAGAGACTCAGGGAGGAGAAGAGTGCTCCTTGCACTGGCCACTGCTCTTTGTTACGGAACTGTGAGCAGCTCAGGAATAGGAGATCCTTTCAAGAATTCCTCACCCTGTGCTACTAAAACTCAGGAAATCATGTTTAGGAAGAATGATGATTATCATCTTGACAGAAGAGGTGCACTGCTCTGCAAAGTCCTCCTTACAATGGAACTCCAAATGTGGTAAAAACTTCAGAAGGCTACATTGGCTTTAAAGTACATTTTCTTCTAAGCATTTTTACACCCTTGAAGTAGATAACCTGCCTTTGCAGCCTTCAGAGACAGGTGAATGCCCACTCCCCATGTAGGATGAGAGCAGGCAGGATGGTACAGCGCACAGCAGAACATCTCTGACATGGCAGCACCACAGAAACATGCTGAACTCACAGAAGGGCTGGACACCCTCAACCACCTGGGTCACTAGAGACCATTTCTGGCTCACTGGCAGCGCCAAATGCTCTGGAAGTGAGTTGGGAAGTGAGTCAGAAGCAACTTGTCCCCAGGACACAGAGATGGAGATGATTCAACTAGATCCAGGTGTAAAGGGACAGCGGAAAGAGAGCAGAAAGGTGAGATTCTCAGTGAACAGCATCCCTGTCCTGCACATAACACCAGTGGAGAAGCAAGAAGTAGACCTACCATGACAAAACTCACAAAGGATTTCCCAGAGGGGTTTTGCAGGACACGACCAGGATGTAGTGGAAAGAAAGAAGCCAGAGTGGCTGAGACAGAAAAGCGCAGGAAGATCAGAAGTTGCAGTGCATCAGCAGAGAGGTGGCAGGAAGGAATGGCTATAAACCAGTCTGATTTTCCCCAGTGAAAAAGAGTGACTGTCCTGAATCTGGAGGCACTACAGAAGCACAAAGCCAGCAGCTGGTTACCAGTCACCAGTCCAATAAGACAACAGGGAAGACGCAGGTACCTGGCCGTAATACGGAGACCTGGGGTTGAGATCCACAGTGGCAAGGAAGTCAGGTTGGTCGATGCACGTTTCCCTGTAGGTACAGGTCACGTAGGCAACCTCCTCCCTAGGAGCTGGGTACATAGAAAGTTGTGTTAAAACGTGCCATGAACCAGCCACAAAGGAAAAGACAAGATTCCAAGGACTGAACTTCTTCCTCTGGATGCTGCAACCTCCCTGCTTGTAGTTGAACTAGAAGATCCCTTCCAGTTGCAACTATTCTGTTCTCTTCTGGTTTACTCCTCCTTGCTCACTGACAACTGTCCAAGCCTGGCTCCTTTACTGACCCAGAGCTAAGAGAACAACAAAGGTGGATCTCCAGAGAGCCTGAGTTTTCTCCCGCTGAGGGAAGGCACTGGGCACACACAGCACCCAACGGTGGTCTCCACCACCACGGACTCCTTCCCCAGACCACCCATTCCACAGCACGCTCGGGAGGACTTGCCTTTCACAGCATCCGGGCAGGTGGGGTACTCGTAGCACTGAGGTCTGCATCTGTCTGGGTTCAGAAGAGAAGAACAACATAAGAAACATCCATCCTAAAAGGTGCCTGTTCAGAAGACTCTGTCCCACTCGAGGGACCTTCTCCCACCCCAGCTGTCAGTGGGCACCACTGTGGCCACAGCTACGGTCATTACAGCACCGACAGA